ATATACACACACATGTATGTACTAAAATAAATAACTACTTACTAGTTGTATTACTATTTAGGGCTGTCACGATAACAAATTTTGCTGGGCGATTGATTAATTATCTCAGAACTTCTTGCGATAAACAATAATATTGTTTGAAATTTGACAATAATTAGTAATTGTCAAATTTAAGAAGAAATGTTGGATAATTTTTGTGTGTAGTACCTTTTTTGAGGGAGCGAACAGCGTGTCTCTTTAAGAAAAAATGGGAGGGAGGCCTCTTGACATGACATGGGCTGTCTTTTCTTCCTTTTGGGGGGGGGGGGGGGTTCAAAATGGCAGACGCTTGGTGTGGTTTGAGCTCTTTAGCATAGCATTTGTCACACAAAGCTTTTAATAAAAATCATGATTTATTGTTTATTGCTACAGGCCTATTACTATTCCTACTTCACTTTTTTTTTTACTTATCGCAGGGCTCCAGGGCACGGATCCCCCGCCATAAACGAGGGACTACTGCACTTAAAAAACAACAGTGACAGCGTGCAATTACAAAACTAAAGCCCCACCTCCTCCCAGTTCACACTAGAGATGGGTGACTTTTTGAAGGGACCTGGATTTTGATGATCCGTTTACTTCATAGAGCTGTAAAAAAATTATAATTTGGCTGCTCCCTTCTTCAGGGGTCGCCACAGCAAACTAAGTCACACGAAGACTTGGCAATTGTTTTTACACTAGATGCCCTTCCTGATGCAACCACAGACCACCGAGCTACCACAGCCCTCTGTGTGGAGCAGAGAGCTGCCATAGGGCGCCCGGGGGAGCAGATGGTGGGGGCTATGGGCCTTGCTCAAGGGTGCCAGAGTGGGGTAAACGAGGATGGAGGCCGGTGTGGTAGAGCCGTTCAATTTGGAACAAGTGATGTCATCGTGTACAAATATACGTGATGACGTCCGAGCCACGTACATCAAGGCTGTACTAGTATTTTGTCAAGTTAGGGACACCCCCCACCCCACCCCCCCAGCTGTGGCACTCCTCCACTTTGCCTGTTTTCCCCCTCCTCTTGTGACAGATGTGTCTGTGGGATTGAAGAGGAAAGCGTGAAGAACGAGGAGTGAAAAAAAAAAAAGAATTAAAACTAGGAACGGCTCTTTACAGCCACTCGGTTCTTATCGTTTGTTGAAAAGAACCGTTCAAAAGAACCGGATCATTCTCTACTTCACACAGTTCTTCACAGTTCACACTGGTTCTTCTCAACTTTACCCACTTAGTTCCAACCCATGTCGGTTTGAGTTGTCAGGAACGGGATTCTCCAATCCAACAATATAAGGGATTGGAAAACGAGTTTTTAATAATCAATTATTTAAAAAAAATCTCGTTGCAGTCTGTTTTATTCCCCTCTCCAGAAAAACAGGATCCACCTGAACAGCTGCTGGGATCAACTCCTACAACACTTTATGCTGCTCAGTGCACACTGCGTCGTGCGTAAACTCCTGATCACGCACCAGCAGATCAGCATCCAGCCCCCCCCAGCTTCAAGACGCACGCGCTGTCTCAACAGGCTCCCGTCATCAACTTACCTGTTCTTCAAACGAGCTTTCAGGAAGTTTCTTCCAAACGGAGCCATGGCTTGGAACACACGAGCAGTCTGAAAACTCCCGTCACAGTCCAGGCATGGCAGGACGCTTGGCTGGAAATGGAAATGTTTCCAGGGAACTAAAACTGCAGGAAAAAGTTTTCAGACGCGTCCCGGATACAACTCTTTGTCCGCCCCCAGCAAAAACAGAGGGAGGTGTTTCCTGAGAAACGCTGGTCCAAGTCTGCCCCCTTTCACCTGCTGCAGCTCCCGCAGAGGAAACCAGAAGAACCAGCAGCACCACGATGCAATAAGCATTTAATAGTTCCCGTATAAATGCAAACTAAACATGGTAGAATTAAAACAAGACATTAAAGGGATAGTTGAGGCATTTTTAAGTGTGGAGGCATGTTAAGAATAAACATCTTACCTGTTGTAGATAGTTCTTTAAGCAGCCTCAGTTTGGAGAAATGTTTATTTCTGAAAAGACAAACGAGCTAAGGGCTAGTCAAAATGCTGCCTACGCCACAGTTAACGTCTTAAAGCATCTTCAATCACCTACGTTTTACAGCAGTTCGTGCAAATCCCTTTCTTTTACACTTTTACAACACCCTCAGTTTTCAAGAACATTGTTCTGAAACAGGTTTGCAAGTGCATATAGCACTAACAGCTAGCCACTTTAGCTTTCCATGTGCAGCACTGAGTACTTCCTATGTAAGTTTCATAATTCTGCATTTCTGCAGGATTGCCTTTGTAATGACTGGCAACAAGACTGCTCCTTGCAAACTACTAATAGTAGACCCACTTCCATAATAGGTTTGACCGTCTTAGAACTAACTCATCTTCAAACTTTTCAGCGCATTGTCGTGTTCTTAGGTTTTCACAGCGGATGCATTCATGTTTTGTTCTTTTGCTGTGGTTATATATCTTTTAGCTAGAAGGCGCTGCTGTGAGACTGTGTTAAAAACAAGATACAGGTTTGTACATACTTGTATGTATTTTTGTATAATTATAACTTTTAGAAAGAGGACACAATTTAATAAGTTGAGCAATGACTGTGTTGTATTCAGTTAATAATATAAACAATAAAATGTCAGAATGTTACTGTAGTGTTTTAAAAAAAAACTATATAATTTTGTTTGGGTTCTTGGTTTGGATGTGCCACACCAAGACGATCAGTGTCTTCCATCTGGCCACTTGTTTGAAAATGTTCTGGAGTTACCCCGGATTATTGCATTTCCTGCGAAAATGCAGTGTGAATGCTTATTTGATGAAAAACTTGCTGAAAAGCAGCTAAAATTAGCTAAAAAAAACATGCTGAAATGGAAGAACAAGCCTCAGTTGGGAAAATAAAGCAGACAGAAAACACATATTTACTGAATTATGTTTAAATTAGCAGGAATGAGCACAAAAATTAGGAAAATAGCTAGAAAAAAAAGCTGAAATTAGCAAAAATAGCTGAAAAGTACCTGAAAAGACAGAAACAAACAACCAGAAGGACGCAGAAAGAGCTGAAATGAGTTTTAAAAGGTGGAATTAGCTGGAAAAGCTTGAATTAGCACAAAACAGTTAAATAGTAGCTGAAAAAGCTGAAAGGAGCATAGTAATCTGAAATTTGCAGAATAAGCGGAACGTAGCAGAAATGACCACAAATAAAATGCTAAAAAGCTAGCTGAAAAAGTAGAAAAAGCTTAAAGTAGCAGGAGAATTTAGAAAGAACGTGTTTGCCCAATTAGGCTGAAAGAAACATAAATAAGCACCAAAAAGTGGACGTTATCTGAAAAAAGCTGAAATGTACACACACACAAATCCAGCTGTGTCCAACTGTCCCCTTCTTACAATGCTGTTATTGCTAGTATCACTCAGCCCTCTGTGAATAGTAAAAGCCATCAGGGCACTAACAGGTCACGGTCCTTCTTTTACAAGTGAACAGCTAGCTCTGTCTGTCAGCAGCAAACTGGTTGATCCACTGTGAGAAGGTGCTATTTATAAGACGAGTTTGTTGCAGCTCCTCAGACTGGCGAAGTCTTTTGGATAAAAGATGAAGCATTTCAATAAAGAAGAATCCGTCCAGAGGACCCGACTTTACTTTGTTAAACAAACGAAAAAGAACCGCTGTTAGACTGCATTAAAAAATGTATCACTTATATTGTATTTTTCATTCTACTGAAGGTTTTTAGCAGTTTTTTGTTCATTTGGACAGCTCAGACCTGTTGAGTTTGTCAAAACTTAAAGAACTGTTTTTTTTATGTCTGTGTTCTCTCTTCAAACAAGACAGCGTGACTTGTTCATCCGGCCACATCACTCCTGCCTCCCACCACTCAGAAATAGAAAACCTCAGACTGACTGCATTCACACAGGGACATAACCAAATCTACCAAACTATGACGCAAAACCCCCTTTTTCCTCTTGATGCCAAAGTGACGTCTGATGAGCGGGCGCACGGTGGAAAATATGACATGGGGAGAAATTGGTGGAAGGATGGGGTGCATGTGGGATGGAGAAGAGGAGGTAGGAGGGTGTGTGGGGAGGTTAAGAGTCTGATTTTCTGACATCACGTTGGCTCTTATATACTGAGAGAATGGAGCCAGCTGCACTTCACATCCATCCAGAAAGCTGCCAAAGACACTGAGACGAGAAGAAGCCGCAGCAGATTCTTCAAACTCTCTCAGTCCTCTGACCCTTCACCTTATGGACTAGACTCATCTGCAGCGGCATCTGTCAGTGTTGGAAGCCTTGTTTTCTTCAGCTTTCATTTTATTCTTCTCATCAAGATGCAGGCACAGCTGGCTTGTGCGCTTCTCCTCTGCTTCACATGTGGCGTAGTGTGCACAGGTAAGCAACAAGGATGTTTGAACCGCTTTCTGTGCTTCGCTTTAGCATTTCCTACAAGCAACACGTTCGATTGGTCAAAACTCGGACCGTGCAACAGGTGGCTTATTCAGTGATGCTGCTCCATGCAGTTTGTCTGCAATGATTAACCTTTAATTCATAAAAATTCTATTAAAAACTTGAGTTTAATGGGGTTTTTTTTAGGTTTGAATTAGAAAATTAAATGTTGTATTAGCCTGGTTGAAAAAAAAGTGATAACTATCATATATGGACCAAAACATCAGCTAATCTAATTTTTATTCCTTCCCCCAAACACAAGAAACATCTTAATTAAGATTGTGTTCTTGGTACCAATGTACAATAATTCTCCCCTTATTGATGGCTAATGAATAGTTTATAGATACATTATTAATTCCTCTTTATACACCATTAATAACTGTTTATTATGCATTAATTAAGGGTGACAGAGAGACAGTTTCTTGCCAAATAGTGACCCAAATCTGTTCACCTATATATGTCATCTAGAGTTGTTATATTAAACATTTCAGACTAAGTTACTACCGTGTGAGCACAATAAGCATTTGTAAACCTAATTTTTTAGGATATAATATTAGCTGTAGATACTTATACTGCAGTGATAAGGTACAATATTTAGGGGCGCAACGATTGCAGTTTTCTGACCGATCACCGATCCCTAAAAAGTCTGACCTGCCGATTCCGATTTTGTTTTATAAGCGACACTGTCAGGTGCTATAAGGTCACAATGCACCTTCAATTTTCCAATATTATTTTATTGAAAAACATACCCCTGAACAATATCCCAGAAACAATACAAACTTGTTTTAACTGCCCACGAGGTAGTGCTCTGAAATATAAATGAAGTTTAGACAACTGTTGTTAAACTTCAAAAAATATCAGTCAAATCGGTTTCTCGTGTATCGGCCGATCTTCCAAAATTAAGGAAATTGGGGCCTTAACGAATGCTTATTGTGCTCACAAGGTAGTAACTTAGTCTGAAATGTTTAATATAACAACTCTAGATGAAATATATAGGTGAACAGATTTTGTTCACTATTTGGCAAGAAACTGTCTCTCTGTCACCCTTAATTAATGCTTGATAAACAGTTATTAATGATTTATGAAGTGGTTATAGAGGCATTAATAATGTATATATAAACTATTTATTAGCCATCTATAAGTGGAGCCTTATTGTTAAGTGGTAACTTCTTTATTTGTCTGTCATTTTGCTCTTTTTTTTTTTTCAAATTAGATACTTTTTTTCATACAAGTTGAAAAAGCTGCAATGCTTTCACTATTTTTAAAAGTTTTATTTTTCATTTTTTACAAAAAGCTACTTCTGACTGTGAATTAATTTAGATTTAGATAAACTTTTCTTCTCAGTTTGTGAGACCAGCGCTGTTTTTTTTTGTGTGTATGTGAAGCTTTAAGCTGCCAAACAGCTGAAATTATGATTTGATAATAAATGCAGAAACTCTCAGGTTAAACCAACATTTCCCCAAACATTTTGTTCTTTATTTCATTCCAAACAGTTACAATTTCAACAAAACAAAATCATAACTAAAAACTTAAATATTTCCACCAAAATATTCAGTAATAAAACCGAAATGATCAAAAAGGGAGCAGGAACGATGCAAAGACTTGTCCAGTCCTGTCCCTAAATTACAACAAATTATGAGTCAACCTAGTGATTCAATAAATACATAATACTCATATGTAACTATATACACATATGTATACATCAATATACCTGCAGATACAAGTTTATATCAAAATTTAATATGCAAACACATGGATTAACAATTTAACGTCATTTTGTCTCATGCGTTTTTATACACAGTCACTTTGTAATCCATATATTTTCTCATGAATTGCGCAATATTTTTTTACTTTGTTTAATCTCTTCATTTACTACATACCATTATAAATTTTCTGGCAACATTTACAGTGTTTACAGGTAAATCTGCAGTATCTTTTGAAAAGTGTGGTTGTGTCTGTGGAACGCCCGGGTTAGGATCATTGTGGTGTTTTTATCTGAGGTCACATGTTAGCTCGCTCGTTATCTTGACCCTTTCTTCTTGAAATAATGAATATTATCTAAAGAAAACAAGATTTTCTTTGCTCCAAATAAAGACATATATTTAAATATTGCGAAAATGACTGTTTCCTGAGTTACACCGGTTCCATCATTGACTCGTGACCCTCAGAGATGATCTCTAACAGAAACGATCCCAGACAAACTCCACAGCGCGACTGTCCTGATTCATGATGACGTCCTCTTTTTCTTGTGATTTTGAAATGGTCTCCAGTCATCATGAGAAAATGAGCTATTCACAGACAACATAAATATATTTTTTACCTGTAATCTTGATGAAACAAGCTTCCAGATACATTTCTTGTTCACTCGTGATAATGATCAGAACTTTCTCCTCTGACTGACAGATGTGGACCAGGAGCAGCGAGCTTTAGCAGAGGAGCTCCTCACCAGTCTCTTTACCTCTAAGGTATGTTCCTTTTGCTCGTGTGTCGTCAGCGAGAGCACAGACACTCTCACCCACACTCACATGCTGCCTTCTTGAAATCTCACCTTTTGGTTTGCGTTCACTCCAAACGGGCGTTAAAAAGCCAGAGAAGGTTGTTCTGTGTCGGCTGCAGCTTGGATTTCCACCTGACTGAGTAAAAATGAGCCGTTTATTCAGTCAGCTTCTGTAAAATGTTCACAATCAGCTCACGGTTTGCTCCAGTGGTGCACAACTGGAGATAAAGTGATCAGAGCTGAGGCTAAGGGAGTCAATCACTTCTTACTTTGCACACTTTTATCACATTAACTTGGGCGATGAAGGAAAGGCGAGGCTGAGAGATGAGCAGAGAGGAAGTAGACAACCGTTAAAGCCTACTGTGGTTCTGATGGACCTGACAGCCTCCTAATGACATGTTCTTCCTCCTCTCTGGCTCTGATAAATAACAACAATGACACGCCAACGTTATTCATTGTTGCTGATGCTCAGAGGTCGATCAGTGGTGCTGATCGTGACGATAACTTGTCGGCTGGATGATAAAGCATTCAGGAGCGTGGAAGGAAAAGCACCGAGCGGACTGGAGGATGCTGCCGCTGCTCGTCTGAACGATAACCACGACAACCTGCCGCTCCACTTCACTTCCTTTCTCACTTGATAGTCATCAGAATCAGAATGCTTTTATTATCCTTGCACAGTGAAGTACAACAAAATGACTTTCCGTACTGCCGTCCTAAAGATGGACAGAAGTGTACGGGGAGCTGCAGCTTCAAAGATGCGCTGCCCCTGTTGCTTGGATAAGAAAAGGAGACATAAGGAGAGAGGTATAGAAAAAAGATCTCTCACATCATGTCCTTGACAGGGCACAGATTCAGGCATTAAAAAAATCTACCACAGCAACATAAACAGACATAATATATATGTCTGCGGAGTTGGTTGGGGTCCCAGCATGGCCGCCAGGTGAGCGACGCAGCCCTTGGCGCCTTCGCATCTCCTAGGTTGCTGCGCCAGGTGAGGCGAGGGAGACCAGCGGAGGCACTGAGTTTGAGGAAAGGTCGTAGCACAGCACAGTCTAGAGTCCCCCACCCCCTCAGCCATAGTCCTGATAAGAGGTGCTTGTTTATCAGCCAGCTCGGTTGAACTCTGTCCATGACCTTGGGGAAGGGAGGGGGTGGGGAGGGGGACAGAGTGTCTTTGTTTCCACAACATCCAAGGAGAAATTGATATAATCCACCTTCTGAGGCCAGGTCCAGATTCAGATATCAACATTGTTTTGGGTCAGGCTGAACTCGTAATTTTCCGTGTCTGCCTTAAAAGTCTTGCTAGTACATTCTGTCATGGTGACTCCAAACAGCCGAGTTCGATTGCGTACGCCAAGTCAAGCTTACAGCTTCTACGAGATTTATTCCTTCCAACCGTTCGTGGACACCGCCAGAAAGTTCCCCAGTCCTGATAAGGATCAGCCCGCTCAGCTTGATACAGCACCACGTATAGTTCGCACATGGTCTGAGTGATGCCGAGCTCTGCACATGCACGTAGTTGGTAAACAATCCAGATTTCCACCAACTCCCAACAGTAAAATCCAGTTATCGTAGATCCAATCATGTTTCTGTCGAGGTAAGAGGGTTTCTCCTTTACCCTGACTACCTGTTGAGGAAAATGCATCACATTTGTTGAGAGACCAGCTGGTCAAATACAATTCGGAAGGTGTGTAAGAAAAGGGGCTCTGAAAAAAGGTTCACAAGACAAAACAGAGCAAAGCATGGACGGAAGGATGGAGCAGAGGAGGACACGTCTGCCTTCCAACGAGAGCAAGCAAAAAATAAATTAGTTAATTAAAAAAAATACCCACCCTGTTGGTTCTGCACTGACTTCATTTGGTGTCGAAGCATTTGTTGTGACTTTATCTCACTCGTATAAAATCAAGTACAAGATTAATCATCAAAATCTGGATATAGTTAAGTGAACTAACAACATAAACCCTCACGAGGCCCTTCTCGTTCTCTTTATTTAAAGGTAAATCAAAATCTTGAGTCACGACTGATTTCGCTGCCTCAGCGTCTGCAGCGCTGCTGTCTTTATGACATCAGAGGATTCTTCCTGCCACTCAGAAGCAAATACCAGCAAACAACGCCTTTGGAGAGCTTAAACCAATTTACAGTTTCTGATAAACCGATCATCTTCAGTGAGGGGTTTGTCACAAAGAGCAAGCCAGCCAGATCACCCTCTTACCTCTCCTGATGAGGAGCCTGTTTAGAAAAATAAATTACAAGACATTTGTAAGAACTGATAAAGAGAAATGTGCCCTGCATCCTCCCAATAAAGAGTTAACAATTTAACACAAAGATCAAAAAAGGTATTGATGGATTAGTGAGGCTCGGAGCAAATAAATGCAATTTTTTGTAAACTGTATTTGGAGTTTCTCGTGTTTGAATGCCTTCAGTTTGTGTGGATGCAGGACTGGACTGAGCCTCAGCACAGTTTGCAGATAGTCACAGTTTTTAAACAGTTTGATTTATAATCATTTATTAAGAAAAGCAACATGTTCACAATCCTGCAAGCAACACTGGATTAACCTGAACTGTCAGTAAGTCCATGTGTGTTGTCTGGTTTTAATATTCAAAGTGGTTATGAGAAAAAACTAAAAGAACAAAGTATTATTTGACTCTCTCTGCTTCTTGGTTCACGTTCAAAATGTTCATATTCGATTCTTACCATCACGTCTATTTTAAAGTTGTGAACATGGAGAAGTAAATTTGGACATTTGGAGCTCTCTCAGCTGACCGCCTAACGACTTTGGTTTGATCTGTTACAGATAAAACACAACAGGCAGAGTGCCCCTTCCTGGCACGCGTCGCTGGCTGACCTGTGTCAGCTGGTGGGGGGCGAGGAGGAGGGGACGGAGGAGGTGGCTGAGCTGAGCAAGGGGAGTCTCCAGCTGTTGGACGAGCTGTACAGCCTTCAACACATCTGCCATGGGCTGCAGAGACGGGAGGAAAGGGTGAGACGCACACACACTAGAATACGGTGTGTGTGTATACATACATATATATATATATGTGTGTGTGTGTGTGTGTGTGTGTGTAAATGCATTTTAAACACTTTCCACACTCATATATATATATATATATATATATATATATATATATATATATATATATCCTCCAAATCCGAGGCCATGGTCTTGAGCCGGAAAAGGGTAGAGTGCCCTCTCTGGGTCAGGGAGGAGGTCCAACCCCAAGTGGAGGAGTTCAAGTATCTTGGGGTCTTGTTCACGAATGAGGGAAAAATGGAGCATGAGATCGATAGGCGGATAGGTGCAGCGTCTGCAGTGAAGCGGGCGCTGTACAGGTCTGTCGTGGTGAAGAGAGAGCTGAGTCAAAAGGCGAAGCTCTCAATTTACCGATCGATCTACGTTCCCACCCTCATCTATGGTCACGAGCTTTGGGTTGTGACCGAAAGAATGAGATCTCGGATACAAGCGGCCGAAATGAGTTTTCTCCGCAGGGTGTCTGGGCTCTCCCTTAGAGACAGGGTGAGAAGCTCGATCATCCGGGAGGGACTCGGAGTAGAGCCGCTGCTTCTCCACATCGAGAGGAGCCAGTTGAGGTGGCTTGGGCATCTGTTTAGGATGCCT